GAGCTACTCGTAGTGACATTGTGTATACACAAATGCATTCCATCAGAAAATTTTCGAGTATACCTATAACATCTGAGAGAGCGTCAATCTCTGTTGAAATTTGAAAATGACACACAAACTTTATTCGTACATTTTATTTCAATTAAAATTTGTGTTTATGTGTAAATCAACTGTTTTGGTTTGAATTAAAATTATTTGTTTACTTGCGCGGCACAGTTGTTCTCACCAGATTTTACACAAAGCTGTTCCAAGCTATTCCAAATCTGCGTAAAAAGCGTAATATAGCACTTTATTTGTGTTAGGCTCACAGTTTATACTTTATTTGTGTTTTACTTGAGTTTTACTAGGAGTAGCTCGTGGAACAGGCTTAATAAAATTATTAATAAATTATTAATAAATTCATAATTTCAAATGAATAAAATCAATTTTATATAATAAATTTGAAATAAAACTAAAGGTGAAACCAACATAAGTATAATTAAAAAAAATTTTTTTGAACAAAAATAATCACTTTTCGCTTTTTTTGTGTTACTGTTAGTAAAACCGTTCAAGTTACAAAGTTAATGAAATCCTTTTTTCGTCAAATATTGCTGACTTACGTATCAGCAATATTCAGTTGGTGTTATATATGCTGTAAGAAAGATTCAAGTGTTTTAATATGCAACCAAAAATTAACTAATTCTAAAAAAAACTTATACATATAATTGAATCAAAGACAAACTCTTTTTAAAATTATTCTAATATTATTAGACAAATAATTTAATAATTAAATATTACTTAAACTGTATTAATTTTGTCTGTATTTTATATTTTAAAAATACAAAAATCGTTGCATTAAGTTAATATACATATAATCTTTAGAAAAATAATTTCATTTAGTATTGTGTTTTAAATTGTCGAGACTTATCTAAAAATAAATAGAAATATAAAAACTAATTAGGATCAAATCAAAAGCAATTCTATTCAACCAGGCTTGACAAAATATGTGAAATCTTACTAGTAAATGTTTGTTGCATTATTGTCGACGTAAAGAAAGAAGAAGAAGCAAGCAACATATGTTTATGTAGCTAAACACTTAGAACTTGTTTTTAGCACGTGCAACATTACACAGGTAAAATGAAGGATAAAACTAAAGCTAATAACAAAGTCGCTAATGGTAAAATACAGAAAAAAGTACAAAAAAAGCATAACACTTTAAATGTATCTAAAAGTGACAATATTACCAAGGATGTAGTAACAAAGGCAATTAAAGAAAATATAGTTAAACCTGCTGAAGCTACACAAATTGTTAAGCAGGATAAGAAACAAAAAAAACCAAAAAAGCCTAATACTCAAATTGAAGGCAAAGTTAATGGTGAGAGTAAGAAAAATAATGTGGAAAGCAAAGAAGCTACACAAGCACAAAAAGATGTTGCATCGCTTGACCAGGACAAGAAAGATAAAAAATTGATGCGTAAACAAAAAAAGAAAGATGCTAAGAAACAAAAACCTGATGGTAATGTTTTTTTTATATAAAATATTCAAATTTAATAATATATCAAATTTTGGTATTTCTAGGCCCACGCGTTAGAGATCCCGCATTAAATGCGTCTACGGTCTTTGTTGGCAATTTGCCAACAAACTCCAAGCGGATACAAATCGCACGTCTATTTGAAAACTACAAACCAGTGCATTCTATACGTATTCGTACCGCGAATGGAAAGGCGTTGTTCAAACATAAGGTGCGAAAGAACGCTCCTTCACTTATTGCATATGTTGTGCTTTCGAGTGTAGAAAACGCTCAAAAATCTTTGGAACTAAATGGAACAACTTTCAAAGATAATCATATAAGGGTTACTCTTGCAGATAACAAACAAGGAAATGATATAAAACGCACAGTTTTTGTAGGAAACCTAAAATATTGTAAGTTGACTCTATATTCAATTTATTGACTTCTTGAAATAAATTTAACATTTTTAGCTGCAACAGAAGAGAAACTACGTGAAATCTTTTCAAGCTGTGGTGAAATAGATTATATACGCTGTTTACAAGGAGACGGAGGTTGCAATGGAACTGCTTATGTTTGTTTTAAGTCTGCAGAAGCGGTTGGTTTAGCTTTGGAACTTAAAGAGACACTGCTCGATGAAAGACCAATACATGTTGAACGTTATTTGCCAAAGAAAACTGGTGCAAAAAAAGCGCGCGATGAAGCCGCTGCCTCAAAAACAAAGGTAAAAACTGGTGCCAAAAAGCGCTTGGATGAGAAAAAACAAAATAAGCAAGGCAAGACAGCAAAGGAATCACCTCAAGAAAAAAGTAACAAAAAGAAAAAGAACGAATATCGTGGCGTAAAAATTGAGGATCAGAAAAAGAAACAAAAGAAGAAGGGCAAACCATCCGAGATGCAAAAGTTGGCTAAGAAAATAGCACCAAAATAAATTTTTATTAATAAAATCAAAGTTTTATTTGATACTTTATGCTCTTAAGCAATTTTTAATTTTACAAAAAAATAACTAAAGTTGTAAAATCCTATTTAAGTATATAAATAATTTTTGAATAAATTATTTCTATATATGGACAAATAAATTAAAGTAGCGTTTATATTAGTCTTTAATTGTAGCCAACAGGACTCTTCTAGAACAGTAAGAACTATTTAAGACAGTTGAAATAGTTTTAATATTGAAATAGTCTCGAATAGGTTGTAGTGGCCGCCTTGTGCCAGAAGCTCAGTGAAGTTCAAATTTTGTATCGTTTTGAAACCATGTTATTAACGTGATTTATACGCAGACTAGAGATCAGCGTGAGAACAATGCCCATAGTCACAAATAAAAAACAACTAATCTAACAAGTCTATAAATTTAACAAAGTGCCTGATTTAGCAGGATGACAGTTGTCAGGTCGGTAGAAAAGGGAGCCTCAAAGATTTTAGATCTTCTCCTAGCCAATGATGGACATTGCCACATGAAGACACATGAAATATAATTAAATGAATCACAAACAGTTTATGAGGTTAATTGTCTTATATTTATTTAGCTTCTGACGATAATTGTTTACTTAGTTTAGTTTGTACTTCTACTGGAAATTTGTTGAATATTTTCTTAGCGCAATCTAAACAAAACGTTCTAGTGTAATAAAAGCTGCAGGCTTCATCTTTGCATACAGGACGCTGACACTGACTACAATTAGCGCCCATAGCTATATAATACTCTGGTATTTTCTTATTGCGTGGAGGTGGTGGTTGAAATGGATCACGCATTACATAAGTGTCCTCATAATATTCCACACCCAAAATGAAAGGAGCAGTTTTACCAAATATATGCACCATTTCATCCATATCGCAAGCACTGCAACGGAATCTAATTTTGGGTTCACGTTCGTCGTCTTCATCACGGACAGGTGGTTTCGATTTAAAATCTTTGGAAGACAATTTCAACTTTGCTATTTCTGCTTCCTCATTCTCAATGTATAATTCATCATCATCAACAGCAACTGGTAATTCATCATCACTTGTTGATTCTTCATCTTCAAATGAGGTTTTCACCCTATAGGCCTGTTTCGATGTGCTTGGTACAGGTTCAGTGTCACACCTTTCTTTATTTCTAGTAGTATTCATGCTAAAAGCCTGTTTTGATTTGCTTGGTACAGGTTCAGTGTCTCGGCTTTCTTTCTTTTCAGTTATATGCTTTCTAGAAGCCTGTTTAGATGTGCTTGGTACAGGGTCAATGTCACTGCTTTCCTTATTTCCATAAGTATTCATTCTAGAAGCTTGCTTTGATGTACTTGGCGTTGGTTCAGTGTCACTCCTTTCTTTATATCTAGTAGTGTTCTTGCTAAAAGCCTGTTTCGATGTGCTTGGTACAGGGTCAGTGTCACTCCTTTCCTTATTTCTGTAAGTATTCATTCTAGAAGCTTGCTTCGATGTGCTTGCTATGGGTTCATTGTCACTTCTTTCTTTATTTCTATAAGTTTTCATTCTAGAAGATTCTTTTGATGTACTTGGCATGGACTCGGAATCACTCATTTCTGTAAACAATTGCATAAGGATATAATATATTTTAATGAAAAATTTGTTTAAATAACAAAAATTTATTTACAGCAAAGATTTAGTTCTTACAGAAATTTTTTATAAATAATTTAACAAGTTTATAATATATAAATTCTTAAAGCTACATCTTGTTACAGTTTCAATCTTGGTATTACTGAGTTCTACAATTCGTTTCAAATTTTATTTGGATTACGTGACTCTGCAGGCCACCATTTAGGTTTTTCAACATAGCAATCAGCTCCATCAATTAATAGTTTAGGTGCACCTAGTGCCTGTTCTACGCGTAATAATCCTATAGCTCGATCACGACTAATGCCACGTATTGTCCCAATATTGGCACCTGAGGCTAACTGGACAGTAGTGACTTCTTTTGATACTGGTGCCGTTAGCCGTATTGGCATAAAACGTTTACGTATTGTGCCGGTATGATAGACGCGTGCTGTAAGTTCTTGTCCAATATAACAACCCTTTTGAAAGCTGACACCATGTAGATAATCGCCATTTGCTTCTAAAGGAAAACATTTACCGGGTGGTAAATCTGTCACGCCTTCTCCTACACCGTATTTATAACGTCGTATACGATAATTACAATCGTTGGTTGGAGGAGAAACTGTAACTTTATCGGCTTCAGAAAATATTTCAGCTATATCATCCCATTCATTCTTAACACCTGCGATTACTCGCACACCCAGTTCACGTATACGTGGATCTGTGCAAAATTGCATATTACCAATTACACCCGAGCTATCGAAATTAATATCGCCATCATCTGGGTTAAATACTATCCACGGTTTGTATTTATCTCCAGCTGCTTCAATAACAATTTTTCGACGAACACGATATAAACGCAAATGTTGACGTAGCTGTTCAGAAATTCCTTTATCACATTCAATTAAAAACGTGTTTACATCTTTGGTGCGATATATAATTGAGTCATATAATATGCGTCCAGCCTTATTTAAGAACATTGTGTACATGGAATCATTAGAAAGGGATTGGTCACTGTTCAAATGTTTCATGTCGTTTGTTGTTAATCCCTGCAAAAATGGTACGACTTCTTTGCCGCTTACACGTATTAATTCTCGATCTGTAAGTGGTTCTATTATTAAACGCGTTTTACCAGACGGTCCTTCGTCTTGTGTTAAACCACGAATATTTTTTGTCATTGTTCTTAGACATTTTGTTAACAAATTGGGACCCATAAATGGGTTTACTAATTTTTTCAACGATTGCATTTCAGTTCACTGTTAAAAAATGTTTGTAGCTAAATATTTTTATATTAAATATTTTAATACCTGAATTTTTTTTAAAAACGAAAAATTTTTGAAGCCAAAAGTATTTATTTAATTTTTTATTTACTTAATAACTTTTTCAACTTTTATTTATGTAATGTTTTTTAAATTACTTAACTCAATAAATTCTTGAATTTATTCAACTGAAAGTAAATGCAATGTTTTCATAATAAATTCTAACAGCTGATTTCACGAAGCAAAAGCCGCTTATGTGATCTACCAAGACAGGGTTGATTTATATTTTTAGTA